TCTAAAGCACCTACTTAGAACAAGCTTAGAAAGCACAGGACTGCGGTTTGATCCCCAGGCACCACATGCCAGCCAGCCCCGCTCCCTGGTGGGCTGAGCTGGCCACACACACACACACACACACACACACACACACACATAAATAAATAAAAAATTAAAAAAAAAAAGAAATAGGCTGAAACTTAAGAAAGCACAGGGTTCTCTTGAGGAACTTATAACTAATTAATGACAGCTGATATACATATTAAAATACTACCTGACATTTTGATGATTCCTCTTTTGGCATAGAGAAAACTGAAGTAATGAAATCATAGCACGTGTGTAGTACAGCTATTCCCAGGGTCCAGATTGTTTTTCATTTATGTATTTGGTACAGGGTCTCAATACAACTCGTAGTGATCCTCCTGTTTTCAGCCTCCCCAATGCTGATTACAAGCATGTGCCACTACACCTAGATGGCTCAGCCACACCCCAGGGGTGGGGCTAGTGCGAGACCAGGGATTGAACCCTGGTCCCTGTGCTTGCCAAGGCAGGTGCTTAGTCCACTGAGCTATCTCGTTGGTCCCAAGATTTTAAAATAAACTGTTATTAATTTCATTGGCTTATTTTTTTTTGTATTTAGGACAGGGTGTACAGGGTCTCACTGCATAGATAGTACTCCTAGTGATCCTCCTGTTTACAACCTCCCAAGGGCTGGGATTACAGGTGCACACCACCACACCAGTCTCCATTGCTGTCTCAGCGTGCCCTGGGGGCAGGGCTGGCACAGCGGGCTGGGGGATCCAACTTCCGGGCCCATGTCTGCCTAAGCAGGTGCTTTAATCTACTATAATAATATACAGACATGGAGAAATAAGAATTTAGCCTACTACTATGTGCTTAGTATTTGGGGACAGAAAATAAGCTAAATAGAACAAAGAAATATTTTGAGTAGATCAATACCTAAAAAATACCTATTTTCTCAAAATATAACAATTACCAAAACTTGTTTATTCTATTTCTTAAATATTTTCTCTCCACATTTAGTCATTTTTTACCTGGATTATAATGTCCTCTTAAATAATACTAAAAAAAAAAAAAAAAAAATCACAGATAGTTAAGAACAGATGCAGCTCACGGGCCTGGCAAGAGCAAGTCCCTGAGTTTGATTCCCAGTACAAAAAAAAAAAAAAAAAAAAAGGACTAGCTGGGCAGGGTAGTGCATGCCTTGTAATTCCAGCACTGATGCAGGACTGCTATGAGTTTGAACCAGCCTGGGCTACATAATGAATTAAAGGTCAGCCTGAAACTTAGAGAGACCTTGTCTCAAAAAGGCAAAACAAAACAAAACAAAAAAACCCCCACCAAACCCAAACCCAAACCCAAAGCACTGAAAAACTAAGTCTGTAGCCAGTGATAGCAATCCTTTAGGTTCTCAATGATTAATAAAGCCACAAGTTTGCTACTACTGCTCTATTCCTTTTTTATAATCCCAGCTCTTGGGTTTCAAGTTTGAGTTCTGCCTGGGCAATTAATGAGACCCTGTCTCAAAATAAAAAGCTCTGTAAGAAAGCCCTGGGTTCAATCCCTAGTACTACTAAGAAAATGATAACAAAAATAAAAAACAAGTATCACTTTGGAAACACCTCACAGATTCCTAGTCTTTTCCCTTTCACATGTACTCTCTCCTTGAGGATCTTCTTGGATTTAGTGCTACTTTTACTACTTAGATGGGGCTTTTTTCCATAAATTGTTCATAGCACTGTTTTTTTTTTTTTTTCTAATCTTTTATTATTTATTTGGTACAGGGTCTCACTACACAGCTCAGACTTGTAGTGATCCTCCTGTCTCAGACTCCTCAGGGCTGGGATTAAGGCCTTAAGAACAAAAAATTAACTGAGCACAAGATTGCAAAGGCAAGAAAAAATGAAGTATTTCAAGAGTGTAAGAATGTGCAGAAGACAAAAACAAAATGTATTTAGGAAATTTCATGTACTTCATTATGCTAAGTGTAAGGCGTTTCTCCCTGTTTATGCTTAGGTGATAGTCCATGCTCTCTTGACCATCTAGAAGGACCCTTAAGCACACCTCTGCTTCCCTGAATCGACGCCACAGAGACAAGCAATCAAGCATGGAGACTCACTCTGCCTCTTTTGGCCTGTGGCAGCTTTCTTCACAGGCTCCAGATTCACTTCATTCTAGGTATTTAATACTGATAGTCTTCTGTTGGAACAGGTCTTAATATTTCATACCTCAAGATTTTACTCTCTGGGGAGATGGCTCAGTAGAATAAATCGCTTGCCTGGCAAGCTTAAGGGCCTGAGTTCAATCCCCAGTTCGGGGGGGGGGGGGGGGGGAGTGAGCTCAGCTTTTGGGCCTGAACGCAAGGATCTGAGTTCAATCCCCGGTTCCTCAAAAAAAAAAAAAAAAAGATTTTACTCTCTGACCACACTAAGGACAAAATATCAGAACAATGCATTATTTTTATGCAATCAGTAAGAACCTTTTTGCTTAGACAAAGGCCACTTTTTATGTACAACTAAAATCATAAGGAACTAGATTTTGTTTAGCTTTGGCATACAGCTACTAGTATGAAATTTAGAAATCTTTAAATTATCAAATAAAATAATTTACTTCTGCTTTGATAGTTTTAAAATTATACCACTAATCTTTGTTAGTTCATTGAAAAGGTTTGTATTTATATTGATCAGTTTTTCATGTCTATTATCTTCTAATCTGAGCAACTACTTTAGATAACAATACACAATGTATTGTTTATTATCTTTTTTTGAAATTTTGTATTAGTTTTTGTTTTTCTATTTAAAATTATAAAAAAGAAATACTGTGGGCTGGCCAAATAGCTCAGCAGATTAAAGTGCCTGCAAGTAGGCACAGGGGCTGGAGGTCCGATCCCCAGGTGTGCCATGCTGGCCCTGCCCTGAGGGTATGCTGAGATGGCAATTGAGACTGGGCATGGTGGCGTGCAGCTGTAATCCCAGCTCTTGGGAGGCTGTAAACAGGCAGATCACTGAGTCCGATCTAGTAGTGAGACCCTGAACCCCCTGTAGACCCTCCTCTAAAATACAAAAAAGCCCCCAAAAAACAAAAACAAAAAACCTGAGGGAAGCAAATTAAGTTTCTAGAAATATTAAAATCAAGTTTGTACATAGTACTGTACTGTGCTCCACTGCTGTCACCCAAATTATAATGTGCTCAATGTCTGGAGACTTCAGTTCCTCTTTTCAGGGATTACTTAAGTTTTCCCTTCTGAGATTATTACAATTTAAATAGAGAAGTGTTAGGCATCAACTACCTAAGATATAGATGCTCTTGAGTATAAATTTTTAGTGAAGATGAAAACTGGTCCATGGGGGGGAGATAACAGACATATACAGTAAACAGATAAACAGTGCATATGGGATATTAAAATTTCATGAGGAAGGGCAATAGGAAAAAAAAATCTAGAAAAGGCTCTTTAGGGAAGTGACAAAAACTTAAGAAATCTTGCCATGGAGATCCTTTGTTAATGCAAGAATACCTGAAGTACCTCTATGTGAATGATAATTCAAAATCCCTCAATAAAATAAAGAATGTCTAGGTTTAATCCCTGGCACCACATGCTGTGCTGGCCCCACCTCTGGATGCGCTGAGCTGGCTACAGAGACCAGGCGTGGAGGCGCACACTTGCAATCCCAGCACTGGGGACCTGAAAACAAGAGGATGGTTATGAGTCCTCGCTGCACGGTGAGCGCCTATAAAAATGCATAAAAGAAATGAGGTCATGTCTCATCAATGAAGACGTACAGTACTTGTGAACGCCTCTAGCACTTTAGCTTTTCTTTTTTTTTTTTTTTTGTGGAACTGGGGATTGAACTCAGGGTCCTTGCGCTTGCCAGGCAAGTGCTTATTCTACTTAGCCTTCTCCTCGGCCCATAGCTTTTGTTTCTCCAAGCCAAAGTCACTAAAATGATTCAAGTATAAAGAAAACATTTGAGTTAAAAAAATGGTTTATAAATCATTAAGTTTATAACACAGAGTACAAACCAAGTAAGTAAATTTATTTAAATTACTAAAATAGTTTAAAATCATTTACATATCAGCTACTACAATTATTTTTCCTGAAAAATATAACATATTAACTTTAAAATTATTTGGTAGATTGAAATATTTAATAAAAATATTTGTTTCTTCATATAATATGTATAAAATAATCCTAAAAAACTTGTTTTATAATCCTTTATAAAATAAATGAAATGATCTGATCTGCCTTGTTTATTAGGACAAATTACAATAATGGGGTATAAATTTACAAATGCTGATAATTCTAGTGGAAAGAAATCAGGCTACACTGTAAGTTGTGACGACCTCAAAGGGTAAATGAAGAAGGGCCAATATCTAGGTCTAGTACTCTAAAATCAGTATTTTCACTTAATAACTTATGGACAAATTAAAAAAAAACCCTCAAAGTATATCTAGAATTGTATTTGAAGAGAAAAAAAGCAGTTTAAAAATGAGAAAACTCAAATTACACATTTAACATTCTTTATATGTGGTAAAGTTCACTATTTTTTTGGCTTGAGGCACTCAAATTTATTACATGCATAGTAAATCTTTATATTTATTACAGTGTGATTAAAGGACTTAGACTGCAACAAGCAGACAAGCAGAAAATTAAATCTGTCAATAGTTCAGGATAGAAGGATAATAAATGGCTTATAAATTTCTGAAACTGTTATTTCTTAATTCAAAACAAAAACTTCATTTGCACAAAATAAACTACTCTGAATTTACCCTTAAGAGTCAAATGAGCAAATATAACTAAGTCTTCTAATATATTACAGACTAAAAATTCTTGGAGTAACCAAGAACTTTTCAGAGGAGGAAAAAATACAAAACTCCCAATAGAATAAATAAGCTTCCCAATAGAATTCACCAAGGTAAGGATTTAGATGTTTCGCTACCCTCTCTCTTAGTGGCTTACTGTAACAGTTCATCCTGAATTTTTTTATTTTTCTATTTTCTTCTTTATTCATTTCATAATTCCTCTCTTCTCTTCACTTCCCTCCTCCTCCTCCTCTTTGCCCTCCTAAACAAAAATCTAAACATGTATACAGATGACTTTTCTTGACTTTTGTTCCTATAAGCAGATGCTAAGGAACTCAGACCTAAATGATATAAGAGGAAATACAATGGGAAAACCCATGGTTACAATTAAAGAGCTGCCTTACTAACTCAACAAACTTAAACACCGAGGTTAAGTTAAAAAATAAGGCCTTCATAGAAAAGGACACTAATCCTTTAAACTATTCACATCGGAATCAAAAAGAGATCCTTGACAGGAATGCATATAATTTGCACTCCTCTACTCAACAATGCTTTGACTAGAAAGAGAAATTATTTTTGAAAGTCACAGATAATTAGGATGACAAATGATTTAGATGTTTCATGTTTTCACAGGAAATTCACTTCTTTTAAAAAGAAACCAGTTCATTCAAAAAGTGCTTTGAATTTTGTCTCTGGGGAAAAAAGTCTGAAAATTTCTCAGAATTTGAGACATGATCTTTTTCTTCTTGTATTCCTTATAAGCAGATGCCACTTTTCAGAGCATCCTCAGGTTGTACAGGCAGGACTAAGTGAGAGATACGGCTCCAAAGCCCATTAAGTTTGTCGAGGTCCATATGATTATAAGAATTGGGGGTGTTGGAGTTGGTAAACTTAACTTTGAGGAAATCTCGCACTTTTTCTTCAATTTCCTTTAGGCCTAGACTGGTTCCAAGGGTTTCCTCTTCTAACAGGACAGTCAAGACTAGGGCCACATCTTTGAAGGCTGCAGTTTCATGGTCACAATATTTATAAAAGATCAAAGTAGATCCTGCAGGCAGTGATTCAAAGCGGTGTACCACAGCTGCATTCTGGCCATTTGTGAAACCATTGCTCAATTCCTGATCTACCTCCAGTTTAACAACATCACTGTCTTGAGCAGCTTTCCTTGTCCCATCAATCCGGATGGCACGGACACTACGAAAGGAGGAATAGGCATCAGCAATTTGTTCACTCAGGCATTTAAGTGCTTCTTCAGCATCTTGGGCAGCAGTGAGCAGCAAGATGGCAGGCTGAGGCCGAGGATGGGAGCTATTAAGATGTTTCTGAAGGAATGTGAGGCTTCTGTCCCACAGCTTCTCATCTTGACCCTGGTACTTATTTCGAAGTTGTTTCATCTGGTTCTGGAACATTTGAACAGCAGTAGTTTCTATCTCAGGAGTAGGAAAAAAAAATTTCACAAGTGGTATAATAATTACCAGACTAAATAATAGGCACCAAAACAATTTCCTCTTGAAAAAATATTCATTTGGGGGCTGTTCAGCTATTTCTGTTCAGAAAAAAAGAAATGACATGTATAAATAATCATTTCCTTACATTTAAGGGCAAATGAATTTTTAAAATTAGGATTAATCTTTATGAATAGTAGGCAAGAAAAACAGGACTTTAAAGAAGGAAGGAAACAGATAATTCTCCTTCATGGGAGAGTAATTTTTACATTTTCAAATCTTAAACCATACAACTGAAATTATATATATAAATATGAGTATCTCTTAAACATGAAAATAATAAAAGATCTTTAAAAAAAACATAAATTTAAAACATGAAATGGCATGAGCAAGTCAGAAATAACTATGACGCAAAACTATTATCAATGCTAAAAGCAGGGAGATAGAAAGTATTAAAAGATACTTTATATGTATTTTTAAATTTAGAAACTCAGCAATTCACATGGCTGATTATCTAAGGTGGAATATTTCTGAGGCATGTAAAAAGATAAAGAATACTACATAAGTAAAGTTCATCCAGTATTACAATAGTATCCGTCCCTTTAGATTAACTGTCCTGAAGCCTTATCTTTCTGTGCATCTGAGTTAGCAATGGTAAAATTTAGTTTTGAATTCAAATCCAATTATTATTGGTAATAATTCTATCAATTTATATTTACATATAAGGGGTGATCAAAATGTGTTTAAATTAAAATATTTTATTACAGTAAAAAATAATTGCCATTGAATCTCCCTCAAAATATTCTTCCTGGTTTTTAACACACTTATCCCATTGTTCTTGCCACTTTTGAAGTAGTTCCCTAAGGACTCTATTGTGGCTTTATGAAATATGACAAAAAATAGTGACTGCTGCTGGGTACCAATCCAACAGAAAGGCAGGTTCATGAAAACACTATGGTGTTCTTCATCCACTTTATTCATCTGATCTGACATCACTCAACTTCTTGCTCTTTCCCAAACTGAAAATCATTGAAGGGTAAACTTTCTAAATCTATTTAGAACACAACTGCTTCACAAAGAAGCAAGAACAATGGGATAAGTGTGTTTAAAGTAAGAGATATTTTGAGGGGGGTTAATGACAACATGTCTTTTATTGTAATAAATTTAAAAAGCTTTCCTGAAATATTCACACATTTTTCAATCACTCCTCATGTCAGTTTATATACACTTTCTCATTTACCATTTTGTTTAATCAGTTAATGATTATAGCAATAACATTTTTATATCATTTGTTGATTGACTGCTTTAGTCTGATAGCTGTACTAGAGAATTTTTAGAACAGCAGTTCTCAAAGTGTGATCTGCCGAGTACAGTTATTATAACCAAAACCATGTACTGTAACAGCTCAATACAGAAGATGTGAGAGTTCAACAGAATATTATTAAGCCATGTGGTAAGAGCTTAGTAACGTTATTTTCTTTAAAATAATAAATATCTTAAGAATTTCTCTGACTTATACATAAATAGGGATGGATAAGAATAATTCATTTTAAAAGAGCTTGTATAACTTCTAAAACAGAACTACCAGATGATCTAGCAATCTCACAGTTGGGAGAAGATCCAAAGGACATGGCAGTCACCATGTCAGAGACATATCTGCTATCCCATGTTTACTACAGCACTATTCATAATAGTCAAAAAGCAGAAACTTAAATGCTGTAGTGGATAAAAAAATGTGGAATATATACACCACGGATACTATTCAACCATATAAACAATGAAATTCTATTTCCAACAACATGGATAGAACTGGAGATCACTATGTAAAGTGACACAGGCTAAGCATATAAAGACAAGTAGTGCGTGATCTCACTCATATGGAATCTGGAAAAGTTGACTTCATGAAGATTGAGGGTAAACGGTGGTTGTCAGAGGCTGGGGAGAGCAGGTAAAGGAGAAGGGTAGAAAAACTTGATGGGGGGCAGGGAGATGGCTCAGTGGAATAAGCGCTTCCCTGGCAAGCGCAAGGGCCCGAGTTCAATCCCCGGTTCCACCAAAAAAAAAAGTTGATAATGAGGACTAAGGGGTAGGAGGATGACTTCTAGTATACTGCACTGTAGGGTGCCTACAGATAGTGATACTGTACTGCACATTATGCTATTTCAGAAAGTTTGAAGAAACGATCTTGAATGTTTTTTACCATAAACAAATGACATATACTTGGACAATATTTGATTTAAACATTACATAATACATATGTATGTATTGAAATAATAAATGATATTCATAAAATTTTTATTTTTTTATTTATTTTAATTTTTTGGCAGAACCAGGCATTGAACCCAGGCCCTTGTGCTTTTATTCTACTGAGCCATCTCCCTGGTCCAAATTTTAATTCTTTTATATATCAGTCTTAAAAATTAACTTGAATAAGAAAGCTCTTTAGAGTCCTTAATTTTACTAGTGAAAGGGGCACTAAGATAAAAAATTTGAGAATCATTGTTAATTTATTAGTATTCACCCAGGATAATAGGCTTAGAGAATAAAAGAAATTTGCCTCTAAGAAATATGCAAGTTAAATTCCAATATAATTCAAATGTTGGTGTGTCAACTCCAGAGCCCAGTCCTCTCCTTAAGCCATGCTGTGTGCAGTCTGTCTCCAGAGATTCAATATTGGTCACTCAGTAAACCTTTATAGTATCTTTGCTTATTAACTTTTATTTGTGGTCTTATTGACAATAAAATAAAAGAGAAAACTAGATGTGGTTTTATATAGTTTGTCCATAAAGAATTTCACTGCTAATGTAGTAGGTTTTCCTCTGAAATGATTAAAATACGATTCAAATAGAAGTCACACTGCTGTCAAGACATTTTAAAACAAACCTGACCACCAAGGTTAAGAGACTCATTTAATAAAAACTGAACAGATAAACTTACGTTTGTTGGAGGGTGATGGAGGCTGGTTTCCAAACTCTGACGTCAGGATGCTGCCACCTAATGATCAAATAATTACAAAAGACTATCAACGTATGTTTTATAATTTGGAAATTTATTTCTAGTAAAGAAAGATACAAATTCCGCCAAGAGAAAAGAAGGCACAGGTTAGGCAAAAGCAGAAGAAAAAGAATATTTGAGTGCCCATTTAAACTGAAAGCTCCTTAAGACACAAGACAGACTTCTTTCGTGGTTATTCAGAGCATGTAGTGATCTAGTATAAAGTATATGAAATACTTAAGTTTGGAGAGAAAGCCTTGAAGTTTTTGACCCTTGATTATCTAATGAGATTGGTAAAATCTGGGACAAAGTTAAGCGGACAAAGTAAAAAAGCACACCACAAAAAAGAAAACATACCATCCGAAAAATGGCCATATATTGGACTCTTGACTAGTGAAGATGCTGCAAAGAGGGGGGAAAAGGATAAAATATGCATTATTGATTAGTAATTTATCTGGATAGGTATTTCAGTATCAAACTCAAACTTAACCCTCACTATTCCACCTCAAACTGACAACAGTTCCTTTGGAGTTTCTGACGATTCCAAACATAAGTAATATTTCAAAACATTTTATTTAAAAATTTTCTGTTAACAGAAAAAATTTGTTTTAGATTTGTGATTAAACTATAGTGCTCAAAAACAATCTTTCACTTCACCAAATCTCTACTTCTATCATTATTTTAAGAAAATATTTTAAACTCCCCCAGCCTTTCCCCTTCCATCTTTCTTAACAGGACAGCTGGTTTTAACATGTTAAGACCAAATGGGGGAAAAGGCCTAGCATTCAGGAGATAAAATGGCTGACCTCGGGGCCAGTGAGATAGCTCAGCAGTCTAAGGCGCCTGCGTAGGGCAAGCTTAGGCAGGTACAGGGGACCGCTTTTCCATCCCCAGCACCACATGCTGCGACAGCCCTGCCCTCAGGGTGGGCTGAGCTGGCAAAAAAAAAAAAAGGCTGACCTCATTGCTGTGACCTGCACTGGCCAGTATGGCCCTTGGTCACTTATCATAAGTGTAGCAAGGCCCTGTACCAAATAAATAATGATTTAAAAATAATAAAATAAAATATTAGGTAGTAAAATACTCAGTTTAAGACCCTCTTTATTCCCAAAAAAAGAAAGATTAAGCTTTTATAAATAAAGTTTGATATCAATGCTGCCTTAAACAAAGAACCATTAGATAAATAATTCTAGCTACTGGAATTGTTACTGCCTTTTTCTTTTTCCTCAGTAGAGTGGGCTTATGTCCCACATTTTATTACAATTCTTTATACTATTTGAATAGTTTCTAAATAATTACTCTAGGTCGGCAAGATAGCTCAGTGGTCTCAAGTGCCTGCTTAGGCAAGCTTAGGCAGGCACGGGGGACTGCTGTTTGATCTCTGGCGCCACATGCCGTGCCAGCCCCACCTTCAGGGTGGGCTGAGCTGGCAAAAAAAAAAAAAAAAAAAAAAAGGCTGACCTCACTGCTGTGACCTGCACTGGCCAGTATGGCCATTGATCACTTGTCATAAATTTTATAGCTTTTATAAATGTAACTGATCTTCCTGATATGTAGTAACAGCATTTATATGAGAAACACTAGGCTAACAGGAAGAATAAAATTAGAATTGCTAAGACAGAGCACTAGCCTCATTTTTTAATTGTATGATAACCTCAGGATAAAATGTCATCAAACTCAACTTTAAGAGGCATACTATTTTTCAACTACTACTTTAGTTTAGGAACTTCATATTTTATAGGTTTCTAAGGGCATTAAAGTTATAATTGCATTACCAAAACAAAACACCAACCAAAAAATCTCAAATCATCAGATGTTTATCTTAAGTACCTTATTATTACTTGCAAATATCAAATGAGAAAATACGTATGAAAATACTGTAGTGTCTGTGATGAATATTAAGTACTATACCCAATGGTTATATAATTCCTAGAAAGCAAATACAAACATTGCTGACATAGGGCTGGTGAGATGGCTCAGTGGTCTTAAAGCACCTACTTGGAACAGGCTTGGCAAAGCACAGGGACCGTGGTTCGATCCGCCAGCACCACATGCCAGCCAGCCCCGCCCCCTGGTGGGCTGGGCTGGCCACCCACGCGCGCGCGCACACACACACACACACACACAAATAAATAAATAAATGTAAAAAAAAAAGAGAATCCTTACCTTTAAAAAAAAAATTGCTGACATAAAAGTTAAAAGTTATTCCGCTTATTAAAATCATTAGAGACGGTAACAGTAATCATTAGAAATCTTAAAAGATAAAGCTGAAGCTTTTCTAGTCTAAATACAGCAAAAATCACTATAAAAGTGAAGAATAGAAGAATCTTCTAGTTATCTAATATGTTGTTAACAAATAATCATTTACAGTTATATGACACTATATTTAGAGATTTGTACTTTTTTTTTGGTACCATGGATCAAACTCAGGATCTCAGAGTTCAGAAAGGTTAAGTGACTTTACCAAGCTCTTTCAATTAGCAATGAAGAGTTAGGTCTGGAACCCAAGTGCTTTCACTCCAAACTCATCTTCTTTTCTCCACACCAACTTTAGAAACAGGTTCCAAACCTGTATTAATAATTTTCTAGGGCCAGCCAGATAGCTCAGTGTATTAAAGATCTGGGGTTCAATTCCGGGCGTGTTGCTGGCCCCACCCCCGGGGGCACAATGAGACAGTGATTGAGAATGGGCCTGGTGGTGCACACCTGTAATCCCAGTGTTTTATTAGATAAAATAAAAGTTACATAAGCATTTTCTGGTTAAAATCATCATATTATAGTAACACATGCATACCTATGGTTTAGTTCAGTTTTGTTTTCTTGTATCGGGGACTGAAATCGTGACCTTGTGTTTGCCAGGCAGGCGATTATACCACTGAGTTATTTCTCCAGCCTCACACCTATGTTCATAGCAGCACAATTTATAATAACTAGATCTTAAAAACAGCATATATATCCACCAACAGATGAATGGATAAGGAAAATATGCTTTTACAGACAACAGAATACTACGCTGCCATAAAGAAAGATAAATATGAGGAATTCATAGGTAAATTGAGAATTTTTTTTTTTCTTAATGTATCTGGAACAGGGTCTCACTACACAGCTCAGACTCATAGTGATCCTCCTGTTTTCACCTCCCCAGCGCTGCGATTACAGGTGTGCACCACACTCAGACTCCATGGCCAGCTGCATGCCCAGGGGCAGGGCTCACATGGCATAAAGTGCTGGGGATGGAACCCCGGTCCCTGTGCTTGCCTAAGCAAGTGCCCAATCCGACAAATTGAGAATTTAAAGCCAAGTGAAATAAGTCAGATACAAAAGCTCAAATATCAATATATTTATACACAAATAAAAGCAAAATAGGAGAGACAAATAAGGAGGTCAAATACTTCCCCAAATTACATATTCTGCTGTTTAAAATATTTCAGTATATATGGTGATTTGTTTCATTTATACTAATAAGTTTATCTTACTTCACTGAAAAGTTTGTATTATTTTCTTTTTTGTAAGAATCATTCAGGTTTATATCTTTTTAAAAATGCATTTAGCACAGGGTCTCACTACACAGATCAGACTCATAGTGATCCTCCCATTTTTAGCCTCCCAAGTGCTGGGATTACAGGTGCATACCGCCACACCCAGTCTCAATCGCTCTCAGTGCACCCCCAGGGGCAGGGCCGGCAGGGCACACCAGGGGATCGAACCCGGTCCCTGTGCCTTGGTTTATGTCTTGTACTGAATAACTACTTGAAGATAATGATATACAGTGTAATAACTATAGTTACTCTATTATTTAGTTATAAATCATTTTACTTTTTCATAAAAAGTGGTTTTTTTTTAAGTGTATTTGGTTGTTGCAGGGTCTCCCTAAACAGCTCCGACTCACAGTGATCCCCCTGTTTTCAGCCCGGACTCTATGAGGCTAGGGTATGTGGTGCCTGGGAACCAAGGTCCCTGCACTTGCCTAAGCAGGCACTTTAGTCAGCTGAGCTATCTTGCTGGCCTGTATTTTTGAGACAGGGTCTCATAATGCAGTTCAGGCTGGTCTTGAGCTCACTTTGTAACCCAAGGTGGTCTTAACTTGCAACGATCCTTCTGCCTCAGTCTCCTGAGTGGTGGGATTACAGGCATGTGCCATCATGCCCAGCTAAAAGTTGTTTTAATTTTTGGTACCAATGTGTATCAGTTTTACTTAAGTGAAAGTCACTTAACTGCTATTAATTATCTAGAACACACAATTAAGAACTAAGAAATAGGGCTGTAGATATAGCCCAGTAGTATAGTCCCTGTGTGGCAAGCACAAGGTCCTGAGTTTCATTCCTGGTACCAAACAACAACAAAAACCTAGAGAACTAAAAAATAACTGAAAACCTCTGAATTTCTCATGGTAAATACACTGAAACTCATGTATTTTCAATCCCTGTAGTACCTTTTAGGTCTGTAAGTTTAATTTTCTTTTTGATTCTTATCATAAACATAATTCTAATAAGGTGATTAATGATTATTACTAACTATAATTATTACTAATCGTGATAGGTCAGAAAGAGCTATATGAGAAGATATGGGCTTCTAATAGGAAATTATAAGAGAACATGATCTTCTAATAGTAAGCACATACAACAACAAAAAAATGACAGCCAACAATAAGCAAGGAAAAAAGGTAATTTTAGTTTTAGATATCTGAATCCATGTATGGAGTAGAACCTCAGTACTGCTGAGGAAAAATGAATTGTGATTACTACTATTTTATTCATGGAAAAACAAAGCCAGAGAGGTTATCTTTTCCAGTTAATCATGCCATAAGTAAAAGGGGACACCTGAGGACCATGAGACCACTATAGTTAAACGAGTAAAAAGGGGACAAAGAATAAAGGTTAAGGCAGAAAACATGTGTATATATACACGAGTTTAATACAGATAAGGTTTAACATGGACACACTTCTATAGAAATTATAACGAATCCAAAGTAAAATTTCATCACACCAATTTATTCGCATTTCTTAAATTCTGAACTTGAAGAGGACAGCACAATTTGCATATCCTGGCTCTTATTGCACAAATGAATGGATGTGTACAGCTGCTCTAAGTGTTATAAAGTACTATTTCGTTACTATCTATGCTTGCTGCTACAACTGGACAGCTTGTCAAGCCCAGACCTGTATTATCCACTGGCTTTCTCTCATCAGTACTTATGTTCTATACTAAATCCCTCTAATTCCAGTCCAAGAAAATGGAAATTATTGAATTAGTAATCACAGCTGTCCTTTATTAGTGCAATCACAAACAACCCAAATGCTTATCTGAACTAAATATTTTTGTACATTAGATAATCAACAAAAACACAGCAAAGAAGTTTACTTACTTTGCATCTTAGCCCTCATTCTTACATTTTGTTCGGACCATTCCTGAGGGGTTTTTTGATATCCCGAACCTGAAACAAATTCATATATCAAAATACCGTTTCACATACTTTGAAAGTCTGTATCATAGCTCAGTGTTGTATGACAAATCTATCAGAAAAAATAAAGTAGGGAAGAAAAAAATGAAGGTAATAGTTTATGAAGTAAAAGAATATCAAAAGATCCTATCAGTGTAGATGAACTGCTTCCCGTAGCAAAATAGGTATCAGATACACACATTATGACAGTGGTGGAAACTATGGTACGCATGCTACAGTGGGCTGTCGGTACCACTGAAAGCTCTAAAAGGTTCACCATCATTGCATTACAACCTAACAGACAAAACTGTATGTAAGTTGTTATGACTTGTGTCTACAGAGGTTCCCTCAAAATCCCATGCCATCATAGGTGAGGCTTTTTGGGAGGTGGCTGGATATAGTGTGTGGAATTAGGACTGATTTATGGCTCAATGCTAGGCTCAAGGGCACTAGGATTAACGGTGCAAGTGCTACCACCCTAAGTCTCCTGGTCAAAATATAAGGGATAAAAAGAGCTGTGGTTGTCCCTTGGGTTAGTAACCTTTGTCTACCATAAACTGTTTCTGCTCATGGTGCCCCTCTGCCATGCCACGCTGCTTGGAGCCCACTGATTATGGACTGAAACTTTTACAAGTTGTGAGGTGAAATAAACTTCTCCTTTAACTCTGGGTGTTGGGTATTTTGTCTCACCAAAAAGAAAAGATAGATACAAATCTTTCAGTCTATGTGAATGACTGAATTAAAAAATTACCGGGTTTTGACATTTAATTGACAACCATTTACTCTTGCCAGTAAATTACTTATTGTAAAATAGTCTTGAATACATTTCTACCTCACAGTTTAATTATTATGTATAGTACCAATGATGGGTAAATTAAAAAGAGAGAAAGATGACTTAAAATCCTATTAGAATTTTTGTTAGTAGAATAAGGCAAGTTTAGAAATAAGTGACTATAAAAGAAAGACTACTAACTACTTACTCAGCACTGAAGATTGCTTATTCTGAGCTGCGGAGTCTTGCCCTGCAATAGAAAACAGGAACAGAGGTCATAGAATACTTGGAAATTAAAACAAACAAGATGCATAGATGTTTTGCTTGTTTCCTACAAGTATTATAAACAAAATCAAATCTTTCTCTGATCAGTCTCAAAAATATACAATACATATATTTTTCCCTTTTTGAAACTTCAGTTTTAAGATCATTACCATCAAAATAATGGCTATGGGCCAGGGATATAGCTTAGTGACAGAGTACTTGCCTAGTATGTGTGAGTGCCTGGGTTCCATCCCCAGCAACAGAAAGGGGGAAAAAAGCTAAATGTATTCAATGTTTAGTAGCTATTGAGTATAATTTTACTTAATTCTTCTTTTTAAAAGTTCTTATACCTTCTATGGTAGATGTTATTATGTGCATTTTTGTAGTAATGGAAAACTGAAATTGATAATTTTCCTGATATTACATATTTGAAAGTAATGGTACTTAGTCCATAACCATATACAGTACAGTATAAGCTGGTATGTATTATATATGCAAACTTGTGGGCATTGAAAAGTAATTATGAAGTAAAATCCTATATCAAATTTTTTTGACTTAATTTATGTATTTATTTTTTCCTATATCAAATTTGGAAGTGGTAAGACTGGGTGTGGTGGCGCACACCTATAATCCCAGCTCTTGGGAGGCTGTAAATAGGTAGATCACTACAAGTCCGAACTAGCAGTGAGACCCTTCTCTAAAAATACAAAAAAAAAAAAAAAAAATTGGAAGTGGTATTTAAGGATACCTATGAAATGATGCAATGGGATCATTAGAAAATGACATCATATTCCATCTCACCTTGGAAAGAATGGCTAAATTTATCAAGAAATCAGCCAATAATAAATGCTGGAGGGATTGTGGGGGAAAAAGGAACCCTTGCAAACACTGTGGAAATCAGTATGAAGATTCCTTAAAAAACTGGGACTGGAGGTCCCGTTTGACCTAGCTAATCTCTGCTGGGTATCTTCCTAGAAGAATTAAAAACATCATATCACAGTGATATATGTACATCCATGTTTATAGCAGCACAATTTGTAATAGTTAAATCTTGGAAACAATCCAAATGCCCATCAAACAAGGAATCGATAAAAAGACCCAGTCTTTCATACAATGGAGTACTACTCGGCTATAAAGAAGGATGAAACTGGAGACTTTATAGGTAAATGGATACAAATAGAGACCATATTCCTAAATGAAATAAACCAAATGCAAATGTGTAAACATCATTTTGTCTCCCTAGTGTAAGAAGCTGAAAGATTAAATAACACATAACAAATATTGTAAAATGGGAAGAAACTTCAAAAGGAAAGAGAAACTGGGTTGGGGGAAAGGAAAAAGGAAAAAGCAAAATGAAACAAAAAAGATAGTTAAGATATACTACTAATTTTTCTTAGTTCACTGAAAAGATAGGCTTATACTAATATTGTTTGGATAATTAAATGTTGATATACTCTGAGTAACTAAAGATAGTATGTTATGTATTAACAATTGTTACCCTTCTATCATATCATTTTGGAATTTTGTTTTCTTTAAACTTAAAAAAAATATTACACATTGACTACACATATAACCACACACAAAAAAATGACATCATAAATAATTATTATAAGGTAAACATTAAAATCTGCCTTCAAGAAATAGGTTACTTCTATCCATTAGTAGAAGTATCAATGTAAATTTGCAATTTCACTTTTTTTGAACACAAATGCAATACATGCTAGATGTAAAATGCATTCTAGGAATGTGTAACTTTAAAATTTATCAATAATGTATCTGTTAAGTACCTATTATGTGCAGAATATTGTGTAGAAATACTTGCCAAATAAGGTAAATATAGATTTGCTTTCAGCCTGTATTAACAACATAGTTTAAAAAATTGGATACATGCTTTTTAATGTATTTGTTCATCAAATTGTAAGTACTCTGTATACCACTTGCATAGGTAGATACATTTTAGAGCAAAATACGGTATTTATATAAAGGGCGACTTTCCACAAAAGCTTTTAATGGTTCCACAGCTTATTCATTTTAATGTATTTTAGTTTATAGCCTAGGATCTCCTGAAAACTAAAATTAAAAATCATATAACATGGACTTCTATGAACACAGTAATCATAAAAGGTTTCCAAAGGCCTTTTCTTTAGTCTTTTACTTTAAAAAGAAAAACAGTATCTCATACAATCTAAGAAGCATCCACTGCAGATAATCTGCAAAACACAGAAAATAAAAAAGTAAAAGAAAAATGCCAGTCTACAGTCCTGAACAATCATTGTTAACATTTTGGTAAACTATTTTTTTTTAATATTTTTGTGTCGTAGTTTCTTAACATTACATCATGAAAATTATCCAAGTTGTAAGATTCAAATTACTACTAAATCAAACTAAAAGTAAATCAATATATTTATATTTCAAGGAAATATATTCAACAAATTACAGGAAGCAAAACACTTTTATCACATTTTTAAATATCAAACTCAGGCTTTAGTATAGAGAGCAACTCAAGTTGCGTAATCAAGCGGTAGAAAGACACTAGGGGAGTTTTAATTATTTACTACATATCTTTTTCATTTATAAATTATAAAAGATCTTTAAATAAATTTGACCAAGGTCATAGGTACATCTGTAAGCATGGCTTTACTTACTTTGTGGTAATCTCCAAACTGATTCTGGACTGTGACCAGATGATATAGTGGTTTGAACTAAAAAAAAGAAAAGAGTACACACAAATTCATGTTTCCTTTTTTTAAAAAACAGTACTAGAGACTGAGCCCAAGGAGCAAAGACCTATATCCTCAGCATTTTTAATTTTGAGATAAGGTGACAGTAAGTTAACCAGGCTGACCTTGAATTTATGTTCCTGCCTCAGGTCTGGAGTAGCTGGGATTATAGGTATAAACTACTATGCCCTGGCAATATTTAACTGATTAGTATACATTTTATAAGAAAACAAATACTGATGAATCTTAAGGACTTCAATACTCGGTGTATAATTTATATATTAAAAAAATCCTTTCAAAGAGTCGTTATATCAAAATATTTAGCTAGTTGTTACTGAAGATACAGAGCACAGCAGGAAGTAAACAGACAATAAGGTCTTTGAGATAAGGAAACTCTTAATAGTTTACAATGGATCTCTTTTTTTTAATGAGCAGAATATATTTATTGAGGAAAAGAAAGCTCCTGTCTGAGAAAGGGACAGAAGGGGGGGCCTGAGTGGGTGGACCCCTACAATGGATCTTCTTAAAAATCCTTAATGAGGGGCCAGTGAGATAGCTCAGCCATCTAAAGCACCTGCTTAGGTAAGCTTAGGCAGGCACAGAGGACCACGGTTCGATCCCTGGCACCACATGCTGCACCAGCCCCACCCTCAGGGTGGGCTGAGCTGGCCAATAAATACATAGATAGATAAATAAATAAATAAATAAATAAATAAATAAAAATCCTTAATGAGGCCAGGGATATAGCTCACTGACATAGCACCAGTCTGGCAAGTTCTAGGTCCTAAGTTTGATTCCCAGTACGCATTCTTATCCCCAAATCTTTTTTTTTTTTTTTTTCTCCAAATCTTTAATACACATTTTACCTTAAGATTTTCTGACCAGAGGGCAAGAAAATACAGTATTTAGTAAACACAGTATTAAGTATTAAGGTGTTAGATATTGTAGTCTACTAAACTTCTTTCATATAATAATGGAATTTATAACTAAATTTGTTTAATAGTGGTCAGACTGCTATTCTGGAAAGAGAAATATTTGATCTATAAAAGCATGGTACTTAATTGTAGATAGCATACTATTTTTGTTTAAAAATTTCTGAGTATCCACCCCTGAAACATTTTTGTAATATTAAAAGTATGAAGTACTGAAATAATAAATTAGCTAATTCATTATAAACATAATACAAAAACAGACACTTAAAAAAAATCTTTTAAATCATTTACTTATGTATGTATGTATTTATTTATTTGGTACAGGGTCTCGCTATACAGATCGGACTCTAGTACTCCTCCTGTCTTATTCTCCCCAGCACTGGGATTACAGGCGTGAGCCAGTTTTGGTGGCTGGCATGGTACACCTGGAGTTCCAGGGCTGGCATAGCATGCAGTGCCAAGGATTGAACCTGGGTCCTTGTGCTTGCCAGGCAGGCACTTAGCTGAACTATCTTCTCAGTCCCCCAAAGTAGACATTTTTAATAGTTGAAATTTAGAAATTACATAAAATTCTAGTATTTCCTTAGTGATGACTGTCCCAGAAGATAACCATGGAAGACCAGTATTTTTCTTAATATGCCTCAATACTTGATTTTTTTTTTTTTTTTTTTATATAGTCTCGCTATGCAGTACAGACTCATAGTGATCCTATTTCAGCCTCCCAAGTGCTGGGATTATAGGCGTGCACCACCACACCTTGTTCCAGGGCTGAAATAACAGGTGGTAGGTACTGGAGATCAAATTTGGGACCTTGCACTTGCCGGGCAAGTGCGTATGCTGCCAAATTATCTCCTCAGCACCCCTCCCCACCTTTTTTTCTTATTTTTGTATTTTTCTTTTTTGCTTTTGCTGCACTAGGGATTAGGAATGGAACCCAGGGCCTTCTGCCTGGGAGGCAAGTGGTCTACATTATCAGCTTTTTTTTTTTTAATTTTATTTTTGAGACAGCTTAAATTGCTTAGGTGGGCCTCAAAACTTTTCAATTTCTAGCCTCAGCATTCCTGTGCCCACTAACACCTTGTTCTTTTAGTTAAAGAGTATTCTTCTGCACAGATATGTGCTTCAATAAGGGCATAAGAATTTACTACATTTCTAAGGGGAACAAAGACCTAGTATTTATGTAGTTTCTTAAATAGCTATATGCTGGTGACAATGGCAGTAAAGTACTGGTTATATGGACAGCTTAATCTTTAATTTTTGGAGCTTTATGTATAGTATTTCATTTGGGTACTTACTATGTGTCAAGCACTAAGTGTTTTGTATGTATAAATCAAATGAATCCTCACAACAGTCCAGAAGAGAAGACTGAGGAACACAAGTTAAGCCATTATCAGAGGCCATGTACCTAGTAAGTGGAGGACTCAAAACTGGGGATTGTGGCTTCATGGTCCCACTCATGTTAACCAAGTGCTTGAGCCATTGAGCCACATCCCCAGCCTAAGGTCATTCTCCTACAAACCTGTTTTTAAGATTTCTCTATCAAAAAGGAAAGGAAGAAAATATGAGGAAAAGTAGGAAATATACAGAATACCACATGCCCACAAAACAGCTCACAGACTTAAGAAAATTTTTGTATGTGGTGCTGGAGATCAAATCCAGGAGCTATGCCTCAAAGGCAGGGGCTATGCCAATGCATGCAAGGCAGGGACTGGGCTGTGTCCCAGCTCATTTTTAAAGTGAAATGAAGTAACTTAAAAAAAAATGATTGGAATTTTCATGAGTTGGGAACAATGGAGAAAAGTGGAGACTTGCATGTTCCACCATGCCTGGCCAAGAGTATGCAACTTTTTAGAAAGCATTTTTAAAGACAAAGCAAATTCATAAAACACTTGTATATTTGAACTAAAAAGATAGTGTCTATAAGAACAATTATATGTATATAATCAATGTTACCTCCAGATTTAACAGAATCTCCGGATCTGACCTTACCAGCAGTGACATCACTGTAAGTACCATCTTGGTCATCTTCTTCAGTTTCTCCTAAAGAGAGTCAAATGATATACTTGTGAATAGTCTCTAATACCTGCAAGTTCTGAATTTAAAAAAACCCACATAAACACTATAATGAAGGTTTTTTAAAAGCTATTACTGGGCTAGGGATACTCAGTTGCACAAGTGCCTGCCTGCCAAGTACAAGGTCCTGAGTTAGAACCCCAATATCACCCTCCACCGAAAGCTGTCACTATTTTAAATCACAAAGTTCTTTTTTTATTATGAGATATATTTACTATTTTTCTGACCAAAGTGCAGTGATTTTTTAAAAATCTTCTTAAATAACTGTGAAAAAAAGTATTCCAGAAAATAAAATACAATGGGAAATCTAACCACCAAATTGCCTTCTGTAATTTTATCCTAACCCTATATTTAGTCTAGGAAACAAAAAAAAAAAAAAAAAAAAAAAACCCTGAATTGTGACTAATGTGAGTACTGAATCATTTTGTCATAAATATAGGAGATGCATTTCAAGGTTCTACTTCTACAAACTGTGTTGAACAGTTTAATCATGAATAATACCACCATGTGACAGAGTAAAAGGAACACAATCATTACTCTTGCCCCGCACCTTTTGATTATGTCATAATAAAGCTGACAATTCTTGCTCTGAATTTCTTGTGATGCTCACCCAAACCTTGGAAGCAAAGACTATGGCCTATCATACAACTGTGCACAAGCTTTTTTTTTTTTGGTACCAGGAACTGAACTCATGACCTTATGCTTGACAGGCAGGCACTTGTGCCACTGAGCTATATCCCTAGACCAGTACTATAGTAACCTAAGTTTTATCTTTCTATAGGAGGTGGTCAGATATTTGCAAAGAAGATTCTTTTTTGGGGGGGGATGAGGGGTGGCTCAGCCCGCCCTGAGGGTGGGGCTGGTGAGGCCTGTGGTGCCTGGGATTGAACTGCAGTCCCCTGTGCCTGCCTAAGCTTGCCTAAGCAGGCACATTAGACCTGAGCTATCTCACTGGGCCTGGTCAGATAGTTGATAATATAAATTTCTAAATGAGCTAAAATTATTTGTTGTTTTCTAAGTACATGATTATTTCCTAAACAAGTATTTTTAAAAAATACCTAAAAAACTGTATTTTGAGACTTTAATGTAGTAAAAAATGAACATGTGAGTAGTAAGCAGTGAAAATTTTTTACTTTATGGGGGAGAAAACTAAACATACCTATGTAATTAAATTCAGACATGATTAAGGTATACAGATATGTTTTTGTAAGTATGTAGGAATATGGGTTACTGTGTATATACACAAATATAAACATTTTGGTATGCAGAGGAATAATAGATTATGCTAGTTTGCAAAGAACTAAATTTTACACCTATATTTTTCAAACAGATTAGTTATAAGAATTTGGAAAATTAAGCAAAGGTCAAGCACATGCTAGAAATGGAAATACTAGCTTTGCTCAAAATTAACTCAGACAAAAAGATGCTTAAGGGGCTGCTAGTATAGCTCAGGTCTAAGCACCTGCCTAGGCAAGTGCAAGGACCTGGGTTCAATTCCTGGTACCACATGCTGTGCTGGCCCTGCCTTTGGCATGCCAAGCCAGCCACCAAGACCAGGTGTGGTACTACATGCCTATAATTCCAGCGCTGAGGAGGCTGAGAAGAGGATCACTACGAGTCCGAGCTGCGTAGTGAGACCCTGTACCAAATACCTAAAAGATGCTTAAAATATATATGAGGATCAATCTATCTGATTTTATTGTTTATCTTAATAGTTCATGATTTTTTCCTAAACTATAAAAGATATAAAAGGTATTTTCTGCTTTTAACTGAAACACTTATCAAACTGCATTTATTGTAAAGAAAAAATATTGTATAATATTTAAAAAGTACCTTCTTGGGGCTGGTGAGATGGCTCGGTGGTCTAAAGCACCTAATTAGAACAAGCTTATCAAAGCACAGGGACCGCGGGTTCAATCCCCCAGCACCACATGCCAGCCAACCCCGCCCCCTGGTGGGCTGAGCTGGCCACACACACACACACACACACACACGCACACAAATAAATAAAATTAAAAAAAAATAAAT